CTGTTATCTGAGTAATTATTTCTGATTTCATTTTTCCCAGATCCTCTTTTGTTGCCAGTTCAGAGAGTCCAGGTGGTTGAGTATCAGATTGTTCCATTTCGTTTCCCTTTGGGGTTGCTGTAGGTGATTCAGAAGTCTGTTTTTCAGGCTTGTTTATGTGTCTTCTCATTTCTATGGTGGGTGGGGGTGTGCTTCTGGTGCCCAAGCGGCTCGCCTTCTCTGCCCTAGGAGCTTGGGATGGCAGCGGGGCAGCTTCCTTCCAGGTTCTGGGACCGGCTCAGCTTTTCTGCCCTAGGAGCTTAAGATGGCAGCCAGGGGAGCTTCCTTCTGGGTTCTGGGACCGGCTCACCTTCTCTCCTTTCTCTCTTTTTTTTTTAAAGCTGCATTTCCCAGGCATCTCTGCCCCAACAAGAAATTCATTACGGCAGAATGAACTTTGGATGGCTGTCTGGATTTATTCATAAAATCTTATCTTTTCTTGCAGCTTTGAGGTATGTCAAGGGGAAGGTTAAGGAGAAGGTTATTCTCTTCTTTAGTAAACCTTGAGATGTCTATGTTAATGAATTCAACAAACAACATTTGGGCAGCTGCTGTGTACCAGGAGTAAACCAATGAGTTGGCATCTAAGTGTTTTTTGAGGGAAACTTCTGCTCAGCACTACTTTGAGGGGTTGTCCTTCCTTTGTCTTTGTAGCCTTTATTTAACTCTTTCTATGCTAGGAGACTTGTCAATCCCTTAATACTCACCAGTGATGAAACTGCCCTACTTACGGTGTAAGTTAGGGAGAGAAACAGATGAGAGAACTGAAGTGAACTCGTGACATGCTTCAAAACCTGCCAAGTTTGTTATTGTTGGTGGTGACAGGACTTGCAGCTAACATTTATATTAAGACTTTAGAATTAAAACTTGCTTTAGAATTAAATACATTATGAGATTTAATTTTCTGAGCAACCCTGGATGTTGTAATTATTATCATCTTCATTTTATGTATGAGGAAACTAAGGCTCAGGAAGGTTAAGTAAATTGTTCAAGATCATGCATTTGTTCAAATCAATGTATATTTTCTGACACCTACCAGGCACAATGCTATATGTTGGTTATATAATATAACAAGAAATAAAGTTCTAGCTTTTGAACTCAAAGGCAAACATCTTTTTTAAATTTCGAGTTTTTCTTTGATACCACACTATTCTTATTTCATATGAGTAGAAATGTTCACCATCTACACTTAGTTTGTTCCTGGTTTGATTTGATTCTTATGTCTATAATCTATCTCCAATTATTTGAACAACTAACTGGATATTCAGGAGCGGAATTATTAGAATTTAGATCTAAAATATCCCCTGGAAGTCTCATGTATTTGGCAGGTGATTGGATAATGGGAGCATGAGATTCACCAGTGGAATCCACTGATGAGTTCATAGCTGAATGTGTTGTTAGGAAGTGGGGCCTGGCTGGAGGTGAGTCTTTGGGATGTGACCCGAAGGGATATGTTCTTGTCCATTGGCTTCTCTTTTTTCCCCTGTGCTTCCTGGCTGCTATGGGATGAGTAGCAGTCTACCACCAGACCCTTCTACCATGGTCCTTTTGCCTCAAAGCCAACCAACTTTATACTGAGCCTACTGGAAACTGTGAGCCAAATGAACTTCTCCTTTAAGTTGTGGGTGGTGGATATTTTGTTCCCAGTGGTGGCAAACTGACTGATACAAGAGCCCACTCTGCTTTCTATGTTTACAAATCCCCTATAAACTCACTTAATACCTGAAAAATTGGACAACTTTCCTTTGGATATTAAGTAAGCTAGTTACACTTATATTGATCTAAATAAAGCAGAAAGCTGAATCTAGGATTCAAGATTCTCATCTTTCAGAAATCCTAATCCTTCAATTTTTATAGCTGAGCCCTCAGAAGCATATTTTCTAGAATATTCTATGATGTGGGCTGTTAACAGAAGCTAAATAGAGAAAAAGTGTCTGAGGGAAGTTCCTGTGTCAAATAAATTCCAGAATCTTAGAATTAAACAGAGTTCAATAGATTTTTAAATAGAAGAAATTTGCAGAGCCCTTAACACGCAAATGTGATTTGTGAATCATCAAGATAGATATAGATGTGGATGTAAATATAGATTTAGGATAGATATATAGATGAAGATGCAGATTATAAATATACAGAGAAAGGAAAGGCAGCACTATGCATTGGTTAAGTGAATGGATTCTAGATTTGAACTGCAGAGTGAACCTGGTCCCAACACTTGGTAGTTCAGTGACCTATCTTGCTTCAGTTTCTTTATCTGTAAAATGGGTTTAATAGTAGAGTCACATTTTCAGTGGGTACAGACTCCAAAGCATGGTGTCAGAGAACAGCATGTAGGGAATCACCTTCAACTTTTATTTGACAGGTGAGAAAATGATCTTGACTCTTAGTGGCAGAACTGAGATTCGAATGTAAGTCTCCTGATTCCTGGTTTCATGCTCTTTCCACTGCATAATCCACCTCCCTTGATGCTGGTGAGTACTTTTTCTTTCCATCTGAATAATCCTTCAATTTTTTTATTTCATTTTTTATTGTCTTTAGATAAAATTTGTTTGTACATGTTACATAGATAAGAGGGCAGAGTGAAATGTCAGTACTTTGAGAAAGATGATTACTGCAGTAATGGTTTCTTTCATGCTTTGTAGTAAAAATATAATTTTATAAGGAAGGGAAATTTGGTGTTAATTTTACTCCAAGTATTTTGAAGTCTCTCTGGGGTCCAATTTGGGCATCCTCGTTTTGTGTGTGTGTGTGTGTGTGTGTGTGTGTGTGTGTGTACATGGACTGGGGAGGCATTGGATCTCATCATCTGCTTTTTTCTTCAGAGTACCTGTTCCAGGAATACAGCCCTTCACAACTCCCCACAGGACCAGGGAGTAGCCTGCATTCTGCATAATCGTCTGCATGACATTCAGTATCAGACATCCTGAAATCTGCCTTTTCATTTGGAGACTCTATCAAATGGACCTTTTGGTGGGGGGATAAATCAATTAGGAGAAACATCAGAACCTAAACTTTTCCTTGGAAACTTTTATATAAATTTGCTATTTAAAAAATTATTTAGATTTGTGTCTCAACTATTTGATGTTGACAAACAGTAGATGTTTTCTAATATTTATCTAACAAGAACTATTGAGTGCTTACCATATGCAGAGTACAATGTGTCTGGTGCTGATGTAAATGGAAAAATGTATTTAAGACCACAATCTCTGTTCTACACAAGCTTAAATTCCGAGGTGATGGCCATGGGCAACATTCTCCCTTTTCCTCTTCTTCTCCTTCCATGGAGGAGTTGAACTAGCATCTATTCAGTGGTTTAGGTTCTAGGAAGGTCCAGAATAAAGATACTCTCATTAATGTGGGCAGTTTTCCTCCCAGGTGGCCAGGAAATCATCTCTGGTGATGAAGCTTCTCTTATAATGGGGCCAGGCCTCTGGCAAAGGAGGAAGATCTAATGCTTTCAGCATAACCTCAGAGGGGAGTGGTAGCTATGGTGATTGTCTTCTGTTTGCTAAAGGCTTGGAACAAAAGCTGAGAAAAACAAATATCTGTCTTGTTGAGAGGTGATTACTTCACAAGTAACCTAGTAAGGGGATCAGCCAGTCCTCAGTTCTCATAAGGGGACCTACATTCCTTTTGCTGGTAGACTATACTTTGTCACTCTCTCTCCAGGCTGGCAATGGGGGTGATGGCTCATGTGTCTTCTGCCAAGGCTTAAGGTATGTTTGCTATAATTGGCAAGATCCAAGAAAGAATCATGCATGATCTCCTCCAATGGGGAGGGATGGAGAGTGGGTGGGGTTGCTGCCTGGAAGGCTTAAAGCAACGGCCACAGTTTGCAGGCAGAAGGGTCATCAACAGAGAATACTGTTGCAGAAGCTGGTCTGATAGAGGCTGCCTAAATTAGCAGCAATGTCAACACTCGTGATATACTTGGCCCAATGGTAAAGAACTCTGAGCACTGATCTGGCAAAAGCAGATGGTCAGAGGTAGCCCAAAGACAGAGGGACCTGGCTGATCCCCCTTTCTAGGCATGAAGGGAAGAATCTGGAACACCTGTGGTTACTCGTAGAAACAGGGAGCCCCATAGCTGGAAGGCACAGAAGAAAACCCTCAGCTCCAGAAAGAGAAAGTCAAAACTTGCTTGGGTAGCACAAGTCGCTCCTAAAGATGGAAAATGCAGGCACCCTGCAACGCCTGAGACACATTTTCTTTTTGCTTTTTTACATAGCTTTCTTAATTTTTCATTTTTAAATTTCTCATTCTCTTTCCTACTCTTCTTTCTTTCTTCCCTTCTTTCCTTTCCCTCCTTTCTTTCCTTTTTCTTCCTTCTTCAGTCTTTCTTTGCTTCTTTCTCTCAGAACTTCCATTCGTCAGGGCTTATACCACTTCCTGGGTCTGTGCTGTTATTTTAGGTTCTATGGTATCAGATTAGGGGCCTAAGAGCCTCTACTCTTTATGTGATTATAGCCTAACAGGAGCCATGACATGCCAATATGCATTCTCCTCTTTTCTCTTTGTGGTAGACACATAATATTATTTGGGGCCATATTGCTTCCAATTAAAAGACAACCTTTTTCACAGAACTACTATAGACAAAATGGCCATACTTGCAAAAATGATATATGGATTTAATGCAATCCCAATCAAAATACCAACAGATTTCCTCACAGAACTAGAGAAAACAATCCTAAAATTCATTTGGAGCCAGAAGAGAAATAGAACAGGAAAAGAAATCCTGGATAACAAAAGCAAAGCAGGAGGCATCACAATCCTAGATTTGAAGTTATATTACAAAGCAACCATGATAAAAACAGCATGGTACTGGCTCAAAAACAGATATGTGGATAAATGAAGTAGAATAGAGGAAGCAGAAACAACTCCAAGCGTATTCAGCTATTTGATCTTTGACAAAGGGGCCAAAAACATACACTGGAGGAAAGATAGCCTCTACAATAAATGGTGGTGGGAAAATTGGTTACAATATTCAGAAGACCTAATCTAGACCCATGTATCTCACCATGTACTAAGCTAAAGTAAAAATGGATTGAAGATTTAAATGTTAAATCAGAAACACTTAATCTGCTGGAAGATAAAATAGGTAAAACCCTTGCAGTCAATAGGGTAGGCAAGGAGTTTCTGAGCAGAGCCTCAGTGGCACAAGAAATAGTACCCAAAATCAACAAATGGGTTCACATCAAATTAAAAGCTTTGGCACAGCAAAGGAAACCACCAATGGAGTGAATAGAAAATCTACAGAATGGGATAAGATTTTTGCCAACTATTCCTCAGACATAGGACTAATATTTAGAATATGTAAAGAACTAAAAAAAATGAGACCCCTCAAATTTAAAGACCCAATCAAAAAATTGGCAAGTGAAACAAATAGATACTTCTCGGAAAAAGAAATACAAATGTCCAATGAACACATGAAAAAATTTTCAACATCACTGGCTATTATGGAATGCAAATTAAAACAACACTGAGTATATTTTACTCCAGAAAGTGGCTGGGATCAAAACTCAAATAACAGCAAATCCTGGTGAGGCTTTTGGGAAAAAACCTTTCTACATTGTTGGTGGGAAGGTAGACTAGTACAACCACTATAGAAATAAGTATGGAGAAGCCTCAGAAAACTAAAACTAGAAATTCCATTAGACCAAGCTATTTCCCTTCTGGGTATCTACCTAGAAGAGTTAAAGACATCATATTACAGTGATACATGCATACCCATGTTTATACTAGCACAATTCATAATAGCTAAATCTTGGAAGCAGCTTGTATGTCCATCAACGGATGAATGGATTTAAAAAAATGTGATGTTGTACACAATGGAGTAATACTGTGCTATAAAGAAGGATAAACTTGAGTCATTTGTAGGAAAAATGGATGCATCTTGGGACCATAATGTTAAGTGAAATAAATCAGGCATAAAAGCTTAAATATTGCATGGTTTCTCTTAAATGATAAACCCCAAATATAAATAAAGAGCAAAATGAAAGAGATAATAGGAAGTCAGAAGATGTATTTTTTTTTCTAAAGGGGAAGGGGGTCAAAAGATGGAGGGAGGGGTCAGAAGGAAGAGGGGATAAAAAGAATGGAGGTGCGTTATGTCCATGTACCAACTCCCCACAAGGGATGCAATTGTTATGTACTGCAAACGTGTGGCAATGAAAAAATTGAATCTAAAGAAAAAGACTACTTCTCTCAGTCTTTCTTATTGGGAGTGGCCAAGTGATCAATCAAGGTAGGGCTAGTGAAATATAAGTAGAGGCTTATATAGGACTCTGGCAAAGTTGCATATAGGAAGCTGAACAGCTAGAATTGCGTTCTTTTTGTCCTGCTTTCCTCCTTCCCATTGGCTGAGCATGGGAGTGATGTCTGGAGCCGTGGGTCTGAAGCTGGCGTGGACCATACGGTAAGCCTGAAGATGGAAACTACACAATGCAAAGAAAAGAGAGAAGACAGCAGGAGCCTGAACTCATAACACTCTTTCACAATATCAGCTCTGACCTGGGTACAACTGGACTTCTTACAAATGAGAAAGGAATAAATGTCTATGTTGTCTAGGCCATTGCTATTTCTAGCCTCACTATTATAGAAGAGCTCAGCCCTCAGTGATCTACTGACCTCATCCAAATGTATTTCATATGCTGTGCGATTCCCTCCTAGATCATTGACGCTTCATCTTCTCTATCAGGAGGATGTGGTGCCTTGAGGGCAGCCTGAGAACTGTCGTGTCAATGGCACATCACAAGCAACATAGTAGTATCCCGGAGACCACTTTCTATCCAGCAAACTCATCACAGGCTCCGTGTGGGACCTGGAGGAGTTTGGAGCTGCAGTGGCTGGGCGGAGGGCCTGAGTCTCTAGTATTCATAGTGGTCTTCTGTAGAAGTGGTGTTTGGGGAGGCAAAGGCAATCTGTCTGATGCTGTCAAATGCTGTCCAGGAGCCTGGGCAAGGCAACAATTTATGAGGTGCCTTTGACATTGAGTGTAAGGGAAGGCTTCATCAAACAGATTTTGCTCACTGTGTTGTGTGTATATTCACAAAGTAATTTACAGTTCCCTTGGAAACATGGAAGAGTGTGGGTCTAAATTTAGAGTGTTCATTCTGAGGCGATGTAACAAGTTCAAAGCATATTCAGAAAGAAGAAATGTGGGACAGTTCACCCATAAATCTATAAACATCAAGCTCATCTATTGGGTCATGGAGACGATGGTTGCTTGCAGCAGGAGGTCAGGAAAGAAGCAGAAGGGAGGTGGCCATTTCTCTGCATGCTCTAGGAGCTCTAGTCCTCAGCGCATCAGCTTTCTGGTTTACTCCTTTGTCTTTTCAGTTGTGTGAGGCCCCATGACACTTGCCATCTGTCTTCTGTTAAATTTTCTTGCAAAGTGTCACAGTGTGTGGTCCCAGGGAACCAGCATGAGAAGTTCTCAGGATGCAGCCAGATTGTATTTTCGAAATTCATCCACATGCTGGTTCCCAGGAAGGTCCTGGCAGCCTGTGAGGTAACGCGCATCCATTTCCAGACAGCAAGTGTGAGGCAGAGCACGGAAAGCGGAGACTCCAGATAAGCTCCACCTTTTATCATGCCAGCATATAGGCTGTCGACTGTCCCTGGGAGCAATGTTTTTTCCCTGGATTTGACGACTGATGCTTTCTTGCCTAGATTGGATCTGACTATTCCAATAGCTCTTGTACCACTCCCACGACTCCCTACCAGCCATCCTCTACCAGCCAGGGATAATCTGGCAACACAGCACTCCATCCCTCCCTGACAGCACTGTAGCTGCTCCAGACATCCCTGCTGAACGGTGACATTGTGACTTCCCTGCTATTTGGCCAGCAGTGAGCATACTGCCTATTTATATTCAAGAGGAGTTTATTGAGTTTCTGAGCAAATGCTACCATCTTGCAATCTTGATATGTCTCCCTCCCATCTCTATTCCAAGCTTATTAACTTGACAATGAAGGTGCTTTGCGGGATGACTATTTAATTTTCAACCTCATCTTTCATGCCCCTGGCCTCTTGATTCATGCTTCAGAGCAAGGATACATTGTCCTACTGGTTCTGGTTCCTACTGTGTTTTGGTTCATGCTGTGGGATTTCTGAATTCTCTAAATTTGCTTTTGTTGCTCCTTTGCCCTTCTTTCTTACTTCCCTACACACTCTTGCTGTACCACATACACCTTATTTAACTCACTTCTTCTCAATTTTAAGACTCATATTACCTCTTCCAGGAAGTTTTCTGTGATCCTTCCCAAGCTGCAGTAATTGTGCTCCCTTTTCACTCCCAGCTAGCTCTCTGTCATTGCTCTTTCTACATTGCCTCATGAGTGTATTTTTATATTTCTGTCTTCTCTGCTAGAAATTGAGCTTGTTAAAGGCAAGCACTGAGCTTTTAATTCCATTTACTCAACACATATTATTGAGTGTGTTTTAAGCCATGTGGATACTTCAATGAATAAAGTAGCTCCCCAGAAGTTTACATTCTAATGGAAGAAGAGAAAAGTGTATTAACTAAGGGTAAGCAGGATAAAGGAAATTAAAACAGAGTAAATATGGACAGTAAAGCAGTGCTGATGAGGAAATATTTAAGCAGAGACTTGTAGGAAGTGAGAGAATAAACCAGACAGTCATCTAGAGGAGAAATCTTCCAGACACAAAAAACAGCAAGTGCAAAGACTCTAAGAGGGAGTGATGTTTGGAATAGTCCAAGATAGTCGGGAGGTAGGTAAGTGAGGGGGAAAGCAACACAAGGCAAGTTCAGAGAGTTGTCTGAGGGCTGTGCTAACTACACAGGACTTTGGAAGTCATAAGGAGAACTTCAGTTTTTCTCAGAGTAGAACAGGAGACTATTGGAGCAGAGGAAGAAATGATTTTACTTGTGTTTTGATAGCTCAGTCTGGCTGCTGATAGAGAATGGTCTCAGGAGTGTGTGTGGGGGCGGAGTTCAAGTTTGAAGTAGGAAGACCAGTTAGGAAGCTGTTGAATGGGATAATCAAGGAATGATGGCACCTTAGACCAGGGTGCGGAGTGGAAGAATAGATGCATTGTGGTCATATTCTGGATACATTTTGAGGGACGAACTGAGACTCACTGATGGGTTGAATATAGGAGGTGAAAAATGGAGGAAAGCATGGTACCCAAAAGTTCGATCTGTTCAAACGAAAGATTGGCCTTGCATTAACTAAGGTGGCCAAGATGGGGGAGGATCTGGCTTAGAAGAGGGGGTAAGTAAGGGCTCAACTGGAGATATATGGAATTAAGAGATAACTGTTAGGACACCAGAAGTTATTCTGAGGAAAGTGTGAGATGTATGAATCTGGAATTTAAGGGAGAATTTGGGTTGGAGACACATTTGGGAGTCATTGGTGAATATTCATGGAAATGAGCAGGTTAAGTGTAGGAAAAAAAAAGGATTTCAATGGCTGATCTCTTTGCGCACCAAAGTTTAGAGATTCAGTTAATGAAGAGGAGGTACCAAAGAAGAAAGAAGAGCAGCACTTGCTAAGTAGAAGGAAGAACTGACAATGGGTTTTTAGATGCCGAATGAAAATGCTCAAGGAGGGAGGAGGATTCACCTGTGGTAAGAGCTGCAGTTACATCCGGAAGATCAGGACTGAGAAGCGACCACTGGATTTG